TGATTAACTGATTCCCAGTTCAACCGCCACGAATGACGATCCTCAAGTGTCAATATGCTTACATAAAAATTCTCAGTTATATTTTCTCTAAGCCATAAGCCAGATTGTCGTCCCCACATCCTTATTCCTCAAATCCCTCAACCCTTAAATAAAAATGCCAGCAACCTACTTCCAATCCCTCTGATGTTGTGGTTACCCATGGAGGGCGTGATAGCTTACCATCAGGCTATCCACCTTCTCATATATAAATGAGAAGGTGGATAGGTAATTTATAAATTACCTTGTAGAAGAAAAAAGAAGAAATTGCTTTGTGTGATAAGACCGCCCATTGTAATCACAGCATTCGGTCATACTATCGAATGTATTGCTACTTGGTGTATGTGTGCAATAAAGTATAAATAAATTAATTAACACATACTTAAGGTTTGTGTTTTTAGGAACAGTGGTTTAAAAAGCTTGGTACTTTAAAACTGATTGACAGGAGTAACCATGGAGTTTCTTGCTCGTTCTTCTCCATAGGAATCTACACTTTGGAACGAGCAAATAGCTTCACTTGAGGACAGACGGCCAGACTGACACGCTTAATTTTAAAGCTCTTGAAATACTTTTTTTCATTTTTTTGCTTGACGTTCAAAAGTGCCTGCTGGTCTAATTGAAATAAATAATTTTGACTTGACTTTTAAAAGAATTAAAATCAAAATCTGAGCTGAACATAGTAAACGCCTCATAAATTCCCGTAAAAAAAACCACAAAATATTCCAGACTCTTCCATTCAATTCAGAGTGAAGTTTTTATTATAATATATGAGTATTACATCGTTTGGGAACGACGAAAATTTATGAAGTTTTATTAAAAATCTGGAATACCAGAATCCCAATTCTGTGGGACATGATTAGCATAAAAATCGAGGCACGTACCTACGTCATAGGGACGAAGTTCTTTATGCTCTGAATGTGCAGACCCTTCATTATGAAAACCTCCAAACGTTGTATTTTTAGATTTAAGCTGGAAAATTGCTGCCTATCTGTGCTTTAGACTAATATGTACACGTATATATAAATAATTAATATAGTAGGTATATTATTAGAGTCTCTTTGTAATGTTATAATATTGTATTTTATAAATAAAAAATACGCATATAAGTGTGGGAGAGCCAAACTTCGGCACGATTGGGTCGGCTCGACCGGAGTGATACCACGGCCACACAGAAAATCGGCGTGAAACAACCACACCGGTGTGTTTCGCCGTGTGAGTGAGGACCAGATGCCCAGTCCCCCCTCTCTCCATCCCTTCTCAATCCTTAAATATCTGAAACCCTTATCCATAAAAGGCCGCCATCGCACTCGTAACTATTTTGGTGTTGCCGCGGGCAGCGCTGATTGCTTACCATCAAGTAATCCGTCTGCTCGTTTGCCGATCTATTCCATAAAAAATATCTTATAGGTTCAAAGTGAAGTCTGTTTGCTAGCTTCCAGCACCAACTATTAGCTCATATCTGCGTCACCGAAAGCTCGACTGGTATTAAAATGCCTGAGGTATAAAGTCCGCCCACGTACCCACTATGCTATTTCTATTTATATTCATACTTCATGAATAAAATTAAAAAGATTATTTTTTAAAGAAATTTCAAATTGCCATCATTATTTTGTTTATTGCGTTAGGTATACCAGTTTAGCCGGGGTTGCGGGGTAAGCGCAATGAGGCACCGCGACCTCGGCACAGAGCAGGAGAAGGAACAGGGGGGTTTTTAGTCAGTAAGAGTCTGACACTCCCTCCTGCCCGGCCCTGGGCGGGAGAAGTCATTTGATGATTTTCCCCTCACAAAAAAAAGGTATACCAGTTTTGTTCAAATACCTACCACACTGGCTTGTTTCAGATAGTCGTAGCAATTCATTATTATAGTTGCATAACTTTTTCCTACCAATTTCATAGCTCAAATTTCATTAATTCTTACTGTTACGGGAGCCTTTATAAAAGAGGCTTGATTTGGTCAAATGCAACGGAACCTAGTTAAGACTAAATGCTAACCTTTATTTTCTTGGAAAGAGACCAACGAAGGTTAAAGAAATCCTATATTGAATTATTAGAATGAAAAGAAAACTATTTTTAAAAGATATCGTTTATAACAAGTAGAATACTTTTTTTATGCTATAGGTTGGCAAACGAGCTGCCGTATTACCTGATGATAGGCAAACAATTAGCGGCGCCCATGGACCACCCGCTACACCAAAGAAGTTACGAGTGCGTTGCCAGCCTTTTAGGAACAAGGATTTCAAACATTTAAGGATTGGGAAGGGATGCAGGGAGGAGGTATTGGGCCTCCGGTTACCTCACTCTCACGGCGAAACACAACGCTGTATAACTTTATTACTATCACTAATCAAGTGTGAGAGACTCACGTTTGGCGTGGATGGGCTAGATAACCGGAGTGATCCCACGGCCTTAAAAAAGGTCGACGTGAGACGGCCACAGGTTTTTGTTTCGCCATGTGAGTGAGGTTATCGATCTCGCCGCTATCCCACCCTAATCCCTGTAACACCAAAATGCTCCTTCCTCCTATTCTCAAAAGGAAAGCACAACTTGCAACTCCACTGGAATTGTGATTGTCCATAGGCAGCGCTAATTGCTTACCATCAATTTAATGTTCGGTTGACTCCGTACCACATAAAAAAAATCATGAAAAATCTTTCCAAATCGCATTATTTAATTAGAACCAAAACGAGGTCTATACAATGAATTCAGTCTTCCAAAATTAACGTCCTTCAACCGAAGCTATACGATTTCCCAATGGAAATTAAAATAAAAATTCATCTTAAAAGTAAGTATTACTTTGAGTAGAAAAACCAATATAAACTATATTTCAAGAAACACCTGCTTATTCCACTCGATTTGGCAACTTTACTTCAAAAAGACATGTTCAATATGAATAAACATAAAAATATATGTAGATATGTGTGTATAAATATAATAAAATCAGTATGCAAGAATAACATTTTTATGATATCAAATAAAACACGAGTATCTCAGTAAAAATAACAATTCAATGCTTATTTGCTCGTGATTCTACTGAGATCATATCACGTCACGCTCGCGTGCCGTGCCGCCTCCATATGTAGGTATGTTTTTGCATGATTTGTTACATTGTCATGCGCGCCGAAAATTCAGGACTTTTCCCCTTTCGTGTGCACCCAGCACAAACTCAAATGTACTGTAAGATAAGTCCATAAATTTATTTAAAAACAGGTAAGGTTCTACACGAAATTAAAGAAAACAAAAGTTTGTTTGTTTCCCAAATAAAAATTACAGCCTGCAATGCAACAATAAGCCCATTTTAATTAAACTTAATGCGGCCATTAATTACCTACATAAGGTTAAAGATAAAGCGAATGAGAGATAATTATTAAGGCCGTTCCACTCCGGTGATTTCACTCGGAAATTTGAACCCTTTTAATGTTCCTTTTCGTAAATACTTAGGTATGTGAGCACAGGAACTTTGGACAAGAGAAGTTAACGCTGATCCGGGTAATGGCAGTCTTTGCTTGGAATACGTAATGAGGACTTAATATCTAGAGATGACACTTGAGGGAAGGTATAACGAGTTAAATTGAGTCACCATTGGTGAGGAAATAAATGGTAAATTTAAACGATTTATCCAGGTCAAAATATTGCTGTGATATCTTTGCCTACATTTAACTTTTGCATAAATTATAAAAAATATGATATTCTGGTCATAGTTTGATTTTACAAAAAAAGCTTACAACATCACTCTAACAGCTACATTACAATGTTACGCAAAAATAGAATTGCTTTTTCTTCTAGCCTTTATCCGAAAAAAGAACGAAGCCTCATGTAAAAGTGGCCATCTTACTTTAATTAAACAAGTAAATCTAACATATCAATTACAAAGAATACCCAGTAATCTCCAGGCGTAGTCCCTTCAATGGGCAATTCAGTGGAATAGCCCCACATTACATTGTAGGGAGCGCTGGCCAGTCTACCTCAAAGAGTTGTCCAAATTGCCCAGTCCTGTATCCCCGTAATAAGGGTTGAGATATTACGGTTCACTAGGCCCTTGTAACACATGTCCGTTCTATGACTCTAGCTTGCTTTGGACCGACTAATTTAGTTGGGCTTTTCACAATAAAACTAGAAATGTAATGTACACGTTAATTGTATATAGGATGGATATTCGGATTAGTTTGTCTGTGATTAAGTTTTATTATAGGTTTCAATTTTGTTCTCGCTCCATCCACTGTTTTGGGACTGTGTTTTGCTTGTTAGAATTTTTCACCATATGTATGTATAATGTTTGGAACAATTTACATGTTGTGTAACTCTCCATAATTTAAATGACTCATTGATTGAACACGAAAACAAATTATTATGTTGCAATAATAGATTAGTATTTGGTCATAGTAAGGCTATAGCACTCTATAAATAAAAAATAAATAAATATATTGACTTCATTTTAGTTGTGCTCTTAGATTTTGCCACCAATAATAACTCATCTTTATTAGCTTTCACATAAGTGGCATATTGGCAAATTCAAAGAAACGTGAATTAAATTAGTCTGAAACATTCCTCGTGAGTTTCTTTAATAATTGTGAAAATTTTACGAAGGACGATACAGTCGTTTTTGAGTTTTCCGCTAACGCAGATAGACGGAAAATTTCTAAATTAAACAATTAGATAATTCTTCATCACTTTCTTTATTTTATATATCATACAAAACTTATCTACACATTAATGGCGTAATAGTATAAAAATAACAAAGGCATGTGTAGTGGATGTAGCATTGAGATAGAGATGTAGATTAATAATAATAAATACATAATTTATATTTTATTGTAAATATTTTATACACATATTTATATAAATATTGGTTGTATTGATGCGGGCCCAGGCATGTAGCCGGGATAACGCTATTCTGTGTAATGATTGTCATTTGTGTGTGACGTAATAGTTTCATCATTATGACTCCTCTGTAGACTCCATCTCCTTCACTCTTTAGGCGGACGCTGAAATGGAAAATTGATTTAATAATTGCATTGCCATTTAAGGGCTGATTTTCAATAGTCAGATAAATGTTATCTAAGGAATAAAATTGTTGCTGTCACTGTCTTATACGAACATTTTACCGCGACAGCATCATAATTATTCCACAGGTAACTTTTATCTAACCATTGAAAAATCAGCCCTTAGAAAGATAAAATGATAGTCGTGCAATAAACAAAGAACACCAAGAAGAAAAATATGATAATCACTATAGATATGATAATAATACTAAAGGTCAACTACGATAGAGAATGCTCAATGCATTAAATTCGCGCTATGTACCTATAATGTTTTGAACATGAAGCAAAATAAAAAAAATTGATGAACAATTTGATTTTAACATTTTAAAGCAGCAATTTATATCAGACATCTTTGCTTCTTATGTACTACTGAGCCATGTATGTGTGAACTCGAGAAAATCTAATGATAGGAATGAGAAACATATGAAGTACCTTCGACTGGTGGAGGTGCAGCAGCAGGTGCCTCCGGCGCAGGCGCAGGTGCTGGGGCAGGCGCTAAAACATAACCGTATTAAACTTGTGATTTCAGTTCTGCTAGGCCATTTAGCTCTAAACATATAGGTAGATATTCAAAAATAAAAGTTAAAAAAAGAATTGCGTTTCGAATTTTCTTTGTTTTTTTCTGTGCTCCTTATGGAATGTTTGTTTTAAAACGTGTTATTTATGACATGAATGAATAAACTACATTAGTTTTTACTTTTAACTTCGAGTATCTTATATATAAAAATTAGTTGATGTTCGTTAGTCTCGCTAAAACTCGAGACTCTATAGAGCGGCTTATGGTACAAAGGCCACACAGAAGGCACGAGACCACGACGACGATTAAAAGAACTACGAAGTCAACCGCAGTACAGTGTACTCGCAACGCCCAAAGTCGACAAAAGTGGAGAGACATCGCTCAACGTTCTGTTCTAGAAAGGAAGAACGACGTTATGGCAAAGCCCATCTACCGACAGCCACAACCACTCTGCCAAGAGTGTAACGACTAAGAAGAGAAGAGTAAGAAGTACAGAGTTTGCCGGCTCAGCTAAATGATAATTACATAAATAATAATATGAACATCTAATTCTCATTAATAGTATGATCAACTTATCAATTTTGATATAAACAGGAATGAAAGGTTTTACCGACTATTACTGTTGAAGTTATACCTGGTTCTGCTGCAGGTGCTGGCGCTGGAGCAGCGGCATCCGCTGCCGGCGCCGCAGGGGCTGGGGCACCTACAAAATATTAACAACACTATGATGACACTGCATCTTATAAAACGTATCATAGATAAAACGGTTGAGGAATTTTAAGAGCACAAAACGGACAAACTTATCCATATCAGTGTTTACCTTCTGCTGGTGGGGCAGGGGCTGGTGCACCTTCCGCAGGCGCTGCAGGTGCCGCTGCTGGTGCTCCTGGAACATTAACACAATTATTCATAGAACATTTAATACTTTCTTCATCTTTGTCTTATGTTTATTTTGTTTGATTAGTATATTTCATTTTTATTGTATCAAGATCGAATACCAATTCTAATTTATTTGTTATCTTGTACAAGGGTAACAAAAAATAATATTTGTACCTATTACCGATTTTGTTACTTTAAAATATTTGCCCAGAAAAGAATATTCCTATATACATAATTATAATATTTTGTCAAATTAATAGACAATGTTCTTGATCAGCAAAGTTGCCTAATAACCAGATTATTATCAATCACTATAATTACTATAACAAAGCAAATCTGTTACTAATTTGTGGGCCCACTTATACAAGTGCAAGCGTGAACATTAAGTCCAGCTCTGTTGCTAGTCATTTGGAGAAACGCCAACGGCAACAGCCATGCAAGTATCGTCTGGAATTCTGCCCATACTGTTGGAAGAAACGTGCTTGTACATAATAATTGCTTTCTTTAATTGTTGCAAGCAGAAAGCGTTGCGAAAATAATGAAAATTCTGATAGTGCAAAGATTAGTGGACATTCCGTTACACTGAAGAAGTGTGGAGCTGATTGTATTTAGCTGTAATCATGGCAACCTGTCTAAATATAACAGAAACTGCTATGACATATCTAGTTAATGATAACTAGATATGCACTGGCAGTTTCCGTATACCTTGTATGACCTTGTTTAATTAGTTACATTCTAGACTCATATAGCTAAGTTGCAATTTAAAGATTACCTTCTGCAGGTGCCGCTGGAGCAGCTCCATCTGCGGGTGGCGCTGCGGGGGCTCCTTCTGCAGGTGGCGCTGCAGGGGCACCTTCCGCGGGTGGCGCCCCTTCTGCAGGTGCCGCCGGCGCACCTTCTGCCGGGGCCCCTTCAGCAGGTGCACCCTCGGCAGGAGCTCCTTCTGCAGGAGCAGCTCCAGGTTCCCCTTCCTGTAACCACAAATCACCTATAACATCATCCCCAAAAATAAAATACTAAAGGTAGCCATATAATAATTACAAAGCGCAGAAATTCTTAAAGCAGGTGTAACTAATGAGGCATGGACAAGAAAACGCCACCGAAACCACAATTTATTACTTATAGCACTAATTGTTGTTTTTCCGTCGGTCGCTGTAATTAATTTAATGTTGTGGGCAAACGATGTCTTCTTTCATTGTTGTCTTTTTCTTTTTTGGGGAACCATTTTTGTACATAAGTCCACAACTGACGTGGTATAAGGTAATATGAGATATGATTCTAACTGTTGTGGTTTCAGTAAAAATCCTTAGCAGAATTCAAAACTTATTATTAGTAATAGATAGTATGATAATATGAAAAGCGTACACAGAATAAATGTATGTAAAAGGGGTAAATGATGCTGAACGTTTAAACAGACTAATGCTGCCATTATTTTAGTTGCATGACACCCTAGAGACTTGAAGCGTATGATTTTCAAAGCAATATATGTATGAAGCTGAATTCAGAAACATTTTATTTACAATTATGTGTGTGTAATGATGTGGATAAGATAAATATGTATATATACTTACTCGTGCGATACATGATTCTCCTATTTGTATAAAAATATTGGCCAAGATAATTTTAGATATGTTTAAATCAATTGGAAATGCGTAGTTCAATTGGCCTCTAAGTAAAATTGTATTTAAATTTACCTATCTACTTAGTTTAAGTTTTTAATAAACGTTAGGAGCTCAAATTGATCTGAAATATTATCTCCGTTGTTAAACGAGTTACCTAATATCTTGTTAGGTCCAGTTTGCATTTTTGGTCAGAATGAATGCAATAAATGAATGTTACCAACAATCATAATATAATGCACAAAAAACAGAGGCGCATTTTTTAAATGTATGGCCGATGCGTGCGCTCAGGAAAACTGATTATTTTTCCCGCCATTATGAAAATTTTTCACAACTCGTCTAGTTTTCTCGTTATTTATTTAAGAATAATTTTATTCAGCAGTGTGTTGATAAACGTCGCAGGTATCCTCGGCTTCTTAAGACCTTCGCTTGACGGCCGGGCCCCAATGCGCCTCAGCGGTGGTAATCAGCAATATTACATACTTGCACCTTAACGTACTTCTTATTATACGAATCTTGGTAGTGGTCAGCTCCGCCCATAGACACCCGGGAAATTACCGAACCTCCTTTCGGAGCACCCGCTTTAAACTAGAGAATACTCGTAACTAGCTCTACCATCATCAGCAAGGAAAAAAAATGCGACCTATGTAACCTATCATATAAATCATGATGTAAAACTAAAAACATGTCAGTGTTTTCATTACGACCCTATCATTAAAGTTCAATGTTTATTCGCCTCAATTAACTTGATGACGTCCGTAATGAATACTGAAATTATTAAATTTGCCAGACACAGTTGTAATTACGATTTTTATAAAAAGCAATTTGTGTTCGTTAAGCTCATTTTGTGTTTTAATGAATTCTAGTCGTGTAATTTTTATATTTAGTATCTTTTTAAGACCCAATATTACATTGTTTAATTAAGTTTGGCTTGGTAACGATTGCTTGGATATAATTAATTTTGTCATGTGCTAATAGGATACTGCTCTTGAAATATAAGTCTTAGTTTAATGAAACCAGGCCGTACGAGAATCTTTTATAAAAAAAAATTGCTTATTCATTTCCATTCTATTCTGTATCTTCGGCTTTGTGGCCATTTTACAGCTGTGTCAATCGCTCTTAGAATTTACTTATATGTAATATTTTGGTAGTTTAAGCCTCAGCATATGAACTAATTAAAATAAGCAAGAAGAAAGACCAAACTTAAGTTTTTTACAGCAAAATTCCTACAAATACAGGTTATACTAAAATAAACCTCACAATTCAACCACAAACATAATGAAGAAAATAAAGTAGAAACAGTTACAAATTACGTAAATAAGTCAAAGACAGGGACTCGGTAATAGCAAGAAAGTTTTCGTGACGTACCGAAAGTTCTCGAGTCTTACCGAAAGGATTCGAACTTTAAAAGAAACAAACAGCTGCGTATGAAGTAGACACGGGACTTAGTTTTCAACTCTTCGATTGTGATGCCGAAGCCTTGGAAGGGTTTTCAACGTTTACGTAAGACTATTAAGTAGAATACGAAGGTAAGTTTATTACGTTTTGAATTTACAACAAAATTAATCTTACTCTTGAACTTCAGTTTGACTATATTTGTAGTTATGAAGAATGATAGGTATGTTGCCCAACGTTTTTCTTAATTATTCGATGCAAAGAGTTTTTTTCATTCATTATATTTAATTCCATCAGTGTGATTTGATTCAATTTTAGAAATCAAATGGGTCCTAATAATTTTGCTTTGTAAACCACATCTTATAATAATGCCATCTAGTAGACAAACCCCGAACTACCATAGAAAATTAATTTGCAAACAAACCTGTTTTAAAATAATTTATTGAAAGACTCTCTCGGGGTAATTTCAGCTGTAATACACTACAATAAGATATACATTCGCAAATAGTATGCTGTTTACACGCACATTATAGCAAATCAAAATGGACAGTTTAATCTAAGTTTGCGATCTGTCCGTGACTCTGCGACCCTGATACTGACGGCAGCAGGTCAACCTTCTCCAATGAAATTTATTTAATACAATTTAAACTGTATTGTTTTGAGAATACGGCAGAGAATCTGTTGAATATAATTCTAATGTTGGGGCATGTTGATGTGCCATACCTATATATTCAAAGTTAGAAAAGGTTACAACAGTAGACATTCAGTGTACTTCCGACTTTAAGGTTTCTTTACTCATGGGGCCCTTTATTTTTAAGATAAGGTACGAAATCTGAACGAAAGCAACTTTGATTGGAGGAACTACGCGGAAATGTTTATTTTCTGTCCTTTGTCTATTGTAAAATGTTCGATTGATGAATATGTAAATTGCATTTGGAATATCGTGAATATTAATAGTAAATTAACTGAGCTGGATTGAGAACTATCTAAGTCAAAATTACTTACCCAAGTTTTGTCAAAAACTCCATCACGTACTTACCTATTCAGCCTATTCTCACACACATTTCATGGACAACACAGGTAAAAAAACAATCACATTGTCTATAGAAGTAATCTAATCTACATAGACAATTCAAACAACATAGAGCTACCTTTTTTCAAACCACACCATTTAAAGGGACTCCAGGGATTCAAAGGATCAAAAAGGGATATGAACGTATAAAGAGTAGCCATTTAAAAATACTTTTCATATTTATGTGATGGTAACACCGAGATTCAAATTATACACTGAAATATGATTCTACTTTTGAATTTGAAAAAAATACACATACTTTTTTTTTTATAGGGAGTGATAAATTTTTTAAATAAAACCTACTTGGATAATGAAATAGAGAAAATAATAACGCTTATTATAAAGAAAGATTAGATGATGAAATTTACTGTAGCGCACTGAAATCTTTTTGAACAAAATCAGTTCATTTTATATTAAGTTTTTCAAGAAAGAAGTGAATTTCCAGTGCCATTGAAATTCTCATTTTACACTGCAGTTTTCTAAGGCACCAGTTATATTGAATTCTTAAGATTTCCACTTGAAACCTGCATTGTCCAATGTATTTTATGTACAGGTTTATTATATTAGCACTGTGAAAAAAGCTATCCGCTTTTGGTAAAAGAATACGGAATCCAATGCAATCTATTTTTAAAATTCGTTTGTGTGGCTTAGCTAACACATCTTTAAAAATAGGTAAACTGCAAAGCTGTTGATACATATCCTATATATAAAACTGTATAAATTTCGTATTTTTTTAAACAGAAAGTTGAAAGTAATGACTAAGCACAGCATTTTTTGTTTGTAAACCAACCTCTATGATTTTAAAATGAATCGCAAAACATTTTGATAAGCGATGGTACCTCAAAAACGCCTGAATTAATTTTGCTAGTTCATCTTCTTTGTTCTTGTTGTATTTGCTAATCAGGAAAAGGTTCTTAAGAATGTTATATAGCAACCCTTTCATAGCGATTCGCTAACAAAACCAATGAATGTTACCAAGGTACTTCAACGCTCATGACTGCGTGACTCCAGGCAGGAGTTGGCCGCTAGGTTCACATATAAAAAAACATGAGAAGGGATTACAACAAAAACATATATCAGGCTCTTAAAGAACTATGAAATAATAAATGGAACAAACAATACATTCGAGGTAGTATAGATACGTATATAGGTACTTATTTATTCTGAAAGAATTCAGGAACAGTTGCTTGCTTTACTCGCAAGTTTAAAAACAAAGGAAGGTTTACACAGGGACAGGAAAACGGGACACAAATGACATCCACTAAATGTAATACAGTACAGAAAATTAATTTATTAAACGTATTATCTTACAAAAAATCATTATTTAATAAATAAATAATTATAAAAAATTATTTGACATGTTCGAAATGGATGTGTTCAATCGACAAGTACACAGATATAAAATGGAGGAACTTGTTGGTAGATACCTACAGGGTGATTGCGTCCGCAGTGCACGGACGGACCATGGAAGGTAGGCATATCACAATGTGCTGATAGTTAATAACAATTGTCAATTGACTTAGAGTACAGGTCTTACAGTAGGTGGGGGTGAGTTACAGTTCATGCCTCAACCTCTTCCTCTTTTACCTTCTGATCTCCTGGCTTGCCCTTGGACCAGTCTGGTTTTTTCTGTGGACACAAAAAGAGATCAATTAGAAAAATGTTCCTTCTCTAAATTGCATAGAAGCCGATAGCGCATCGCGGCTATATTCCTAAATACGCCTGCGATCAACAATCTGCTCGAACAATGGAAGCAGGTCTCGTAAAATATATACAGATGCTGCTGTAATAATACCAAGGCAATGTGTGGAGCTATTTTTATATCGCATGATTTTTCGCTTTTTCAAATAAAAATTCACACGGTTCTTGGTATAAGCTTTCAATTGTGCTCGTTTATCGGCAGACTCGCTGCACCGTACGCCGAGAGTAAGAGCGATAAATGGTATCACGCCTCATAACGGCATACAGTATGGCGATTATAGGTTCACGAATTGCAGGCGTACCTACTATTCGCAAATTGTAATCGAATAAAGCACACACTTTAAGCTTCGAAGGTATAACACATCTAAGAAAACTTTGCTATAAAAACCGAAGCGTTTTGTGTAGCAACCTAAAATAACCGCTTTATACAGGTGTGGGGTGTCGGCACTGTGAAACGCATGTTGGTATCACACAAAGCTTTATACAATAAATCTGCTAAGGGGCCAAAACGCAGCGTAATCGCAACTGTCCTCATTATTTCTCCTTCAGACAAACTAAATAAGCAAGAAGAACTAACGAGAGACAAACTTTAATAACACGGCCTTGAAAACAGGTGGACGGATGAAATATACAATACGAATTGATGCCAATCGTTAATGTGTTTGAATTGGCAAAGATCTTCAGCTTGAGTGAAAAAATAAACTAGGTAATTGTAGCCACTCTAACGGTACATCTCATAGCTGTGCTGAAAATATAACATGCCGCGTGTTTGAGCAACGTCTAAATTAAAACGTGTCTGTACGCGTTGTCGCTTTACTTTCTATTTACCTTGCTCGCAGCGCCACCCTGTGAAACATCGCATCATGATATTGTAACAAAATTATTTCGTTTCTACTCTACATTGATAGCCTCTAAATAGACCAAGGTGTCTATTATTTCATAAATTTTCTTGTAACTTTTCATTTAAGGTGAAATTTATCTACGTGCTTATTAGTATTTAATTTGATATTTATGAAAAATGCTACAATTTGAAAAGGTTTAATGTTCATTGAGAGTCGTACCTACAGTTAGAGTGTAATGATAAATGTCATAGTGTTAGTGTAGATATAATGTTGACAAGTATTTGAAGATCTTGTACACAAATTGACATATTTAAAAGACCTACTTGCAGATTTATTTGAAAGAGTTAGTCACTTAAGAAATTGAAGAAAAAGCTTTTGGTATTTCATTTAGATTCCTACAACAGAGGAGCGGCGAAGCTTTGTAGGGAGAACCTGAATAAAGAGATAGACTCTTTATAGTTAAAATGTTGAGCGTAAGCCTTTGGTTGGGGGGAAATTAAATTAAAATGTTAATAACAAGATAAGTCACATCTAAATAAAAATTTAAGCTGTATTTAACGCGGCATCCAAACTCTTTCTCACCTTGTTTTGTCAGGTTTGGATTTTATACGGAATTCAAAAGATTTATATTAGAAAAGAATGATTTATTTTATATTAAATTAATGGGTAGTTAAAAAATAAGTCATCATTTGTTCAACAGCAGAGAATGATTGCAAGAAATCGACTGTTAGTTTTAGTACATGGTCTACTTCTTTCCAATAGCCCAATCAGCTTTCTCCGCTTTCTTGGCCTGTAGAAGATGATTAGGTCAGTGATGCTGGTTGTTAAACAACACATCTAGTAAAAATATGTAAGCATTTAAATTGCTCAGATTACTGGGATTCGAACCCATGAACAAGATGTGGTAGAAGCACTCACAAATAAAGACGTTAATGAATTAAAGAAAATTTTAAAAGAAAATTATGAAAGAAGAATAACTGAAGTTTAGTTAATAAAAAAGAAAGAAAAAGAAAGTAGTGAAGCCAATAATAAACTACAAGTTGTATAATGTTAGAGAAAACGATTGATATCTTTTTATCATCGTAATTTCGTAGATTAAGCTACGTCAGACATTGTATCAAGTGTGAAAAGAATTCGTGTTTTGTTGTCATTTGTATGTAAATCAGAATGATTAATTATATATTTCTAGGACATATTTTTTGTCAAAATTATTTGCTTTCAGAATATTAGTAGCAATGGTTTCTTCTTCCACAGTTATATCAGCCTATATGGCTTTAACTACTTCGTTGTTATCATCAAAATCATCTACAATATTAGCTATGTCATTCAAAAGTACAATAAGTTCTTTTTTATTATAATCCTCGTCTAAATTACCAATATTTTCTTCTATAAATTCATAAATTTTGATATTATCAATTATTCTTACCTCTTTGTCTTCTTCTTCAAGGGTGAATTCCTTCTTTTTGACGACCTTCAACTGGTTACGGAAGTTGAATTCGGCCGCCTTTTTCTGGAGCTTGGCGAATTTGTTCTCGTATTTGGACACCTTCTTTAGTGTGGGTTTGACGCTGAAATAAATAATCTTATATTAGTTTTATTATTCTAACGATTTCATTAAACAGTGATATTTGCCATTTTGCGCTAATATGCATAATAATGTGATATTTGTAACGTAAAAATAAATATAACAGTGGTTTATGGTTTAATTAAACATAAACCAAAGTATGAAAATTGGTGTTGAAAATTATCAATTAAGTAGCTAAAGTGTAAATAATGAGGAACAATTAAGAGATACTTACAATTTGCCTCTAAGGTCGTTGACTTGAGAGTTCAGGTCCGAGATCTGTTAAAATAAAACATAGTCTTAGACCCAAATCCAAAATAAACGGTCAAGTTAATAACATAAAAGCAAAATATAGAAAAATCGTAAGGAAAGGTTATACTGACTACAAAATCTTAAATATAAATGCTTGTATTTTCATTCCAGGTAAGGGAAGGATTCGAACCAAATACATACATTAGTCGTCTCGTAATGAAAATAAATGTGATAGAGTCAACAAGAATAAAATTAAATAGATAGATAGAGCATATTTCAAATGTAAATCAATATGTAGGATACGAACTGACAATTACAAAGCAACAGTACCAAGTACTAATGAAATCATTTGATGAAATCATTTCACAAGTTTGTGTCAAAAGCACTGTAATAACAAATGTGTATGCGCATACTGCACACATTAATCAATAAGGTCTTAAAGCACTCCAAACATAAGGTTCAAACTTGTGCAACGTTTTACTTAATCATGCAATGCACATAGAAAATTAGCCTTGTCTTGTTGAAGCTCAAACTGACAAAAATGCCCAAAAAATCCAACAATCATAACATACATTAAATGAAAAAAGAAATCGAAATATTAATACTAGAAAAGCACAGAACAAGATATAGAGCTGAGCAAGATTAGGCAGTGTTATTTGCGAGCTGAAGTATTGTCTTAATATCTGTGGTCTGTAGGAACATATTCCTATTATCCCGGCTGTGACCTCCTATATATCTTAAACCTGTGCTCTTTACCTAGACAATACACTAGTGAACGTGGGCTATAGGTACATCTGACAATATTCGTGCAAGAGATCTACTTATCGTGCCTCGTGATTGGTAGCTGGCCGCCTGCAGCTCCTGTGCCTCAACAACTAGATTTATTCACAAATGTACATAGACATGTGCAGAATATAATACATGTGCAACATATAACACGAGCGCTAACAATATTGTACTGCTTCGGCCGCGATCGGATCGTGCGTCGCGCGTCGTCTAGAGTCAACAGTGCTTCTACTAGTCTAGTCAGTGATCGAAGTTGTAACATATTGAGCGCTTGTCGTGATGCGAGTTAATTATATATAAATGTATGTTGCGATGGAATCAATTCTGTATACATCGGCGATGTATGAGTACCACGTTGCAGATAAAGTGTATCATGGAGTGACGGTGCAAAATCGATCCAGACTTGCAAATGTGGGTATGTATGTAGATACAGATGTGGGTACTGTGTGTCTTTGGACTCGCAAGTGAGCATAGTATACCACTCCGTGTCCCGGATGAGTGATGCAAACGTTCCGAGCGGCCGATACGTTCGGCTCGGGCGCAGGGAGGGGGCGGGCAACATTGACCAGAGCATGGCACTTTCAATTTAACACTCGGTGTATACAGGTATTGCAAAAGGTTTGTGGGGTAGTTCAGCAACCGAACACGCAAACATGTCGCGCGAAATATTACGGCACATACGTGAAAAGTTGGAGATTTGGAACAAGAAGTTTCACTTACACTATGCACTTGCGTGTGCCAATAGAGGAACCAGTCCAGCGTTCCAATTACACCTCAACGGTATCATTGTTATCATAAAAAGAGAAAATTCAGTAAGGCCTCTAAGCTCGCCACCACACATGAAGCGACACACTGGCGGATGCAGCTAGTATCATTTTATTATGCTTGATTATGTAGGTACTTGAACACTTTTAAATTATTATTATCAAAGTGCCATACTATTTTAGAAATGATTTAATAAGGAATTTAAGGGATATTTGTTACAGTATAATTATAATATTATATATAGATGTCATGCAACAGGCAGAAGCTTTAGCTGGTAAGCGGCTTGGTGACGAGATGGTTTCAGTAAGGATGAAGATGAGAAGCACATCGACAGATGACCGACACGAAACATCAATAGATTATATAGACGATACATATAGAGTTTGTCAGGACAGACGTAGACGTGACCGCGGTACTGAGCCGAGTATATAACACAGAACAAGTAATACATATAGGTGAGAGTTACGCGGCATGCAGCGGCAAGGCGCCGGGCCCAGCCAGTAGTGAGTGCAGTGTTACTGTTACGCCGGTGGCGGTTACTGTAGTTAGTGTAGTTAATGGTGTAAGCTCCATGTCAGATGACGCGATCGGCGGAGATCGATTTTGCACCGCACGCCTGCCATGGGCGGGGCGAGTGCGCCCGCGCAGCCCCGCGCTTCCCTCCCCACTACGACACATCACACGCGCTCTACAAGTACACAACTAACGAACCGGCCTTCCACCGTTATTTACAACTCAACAACAAACAACCGAAAACTTACAAAGCGTTATCAATGTATAAACACGAACTGTCACACGCGCACGTTTGTTACAGAATCGATGACTGTGATATTCACAATGGTTATAAAGTATTGGTCAATACCTCATAATCTCTTTTCCTGACTTCATGTTCCAAATCCCACTTCTGGCCCTCACACACATACATGCGGTCATAATACTCCTGTATTATTCTCTTGAGCATTGCTATAGAAAAAGGAAAGACATATTATTGAGCCAGCAGAATGAGCATGGGCATCGGTGTGAGTGACCTGACGACGTGGAGCGACGTGTGCATGTGTGCGGTGAGCCGTACAACTATCATGTCATGTCGTAACAACTAAATCAGAATCAACTCATATCATGTCATATGCATTCCCAATTCCTAATTTATGTAGTTTACCTCCATTTTCTTAATTTCGATCGCTCGTTCTAGTTCATATTTATCCCCCTCAAGGTTGTATATTCTGTGCCAGTACATTTGACAAATGGTCTGGAGTTCCGCTAAAGAAAAACAATCACATTTTAAGTTTGGAATCATTTTCGTCGCTTCGAAGTCTGTCTCACGAATCTGTGTTGTTGCTGTGTAGTGGACTCGACAAGGGGACCTTCGACTGGTGGAATCAAAGCGTAAGCGAAGCTACATGATCAGTATTGAGGTGGGTATCAAATGGACTATTACTGAAACATAATCAATGTTGTTATTGACTCAAAACTCAATGAGAGTATCTACAGAATCTATTGCAGCTTCGGAATGCTACAACGGGTCGTTGTTATTTCAGCGTTTTTTTTAATTTACTTTGTTATCCACACGGTTAAGGTTGAAAGGTATAATTTATTTTCAGCTCCGTAAATCGACAATTATGATATTGCTGCGAAAACAAAACAATATTTAAATCTAGTCACATTATCGGCATGAACTACTCAAACGAGAGCGTAATATAAATTGCGTGGCTCCCAAACCAGGTCAGACCTCGAGCGCTCGGCGGGCCACCTCCATCTCGTGATCGTACTTCTCCTCTTCTAGCTTGATGATACGCTGATGGTAACCGGTTATGATGCTCGTGAGAGCCGCTACAACATCAACCAAGAGTTACTCGCGCTGTTCGCTACTGTACCGAGGGTTGTACGCGGCTGTACACCCGCACTCCGCGCCCACCGCCGTGGTGGCGTCCGCGCCATCGACCATCAGTTAGCCAAGTGTAAGTGGAAGAAATTTTAAGTCGGAAATATAGAAGTAGTGAGTATACGCAGATCAGATCAACGATATCAAATGAAGTTTAGAAGAAGTAGAGAAACGCGTTAGACAGAGAGGCCTGAGATTGACGGCCGACACACCGTTAAAGTCTTTGTTAAACCAGCTGACGAAGTAAGAACAACACGCCACTTGACATATCACAAGTTACGTTAATCATTTTAATATGAAGTAAAGTGTTTGTAAGTTTTGTAAGTCGACACAAGAGAACTGCTCGTTGACAGCAGCTCATCTCTCTACCTCCATATCTTTTCTTTTAACGATGTATTCCAGATCGAACTTCTCGTCTTCGAGCTGTCCGATGCGGGTGTGGTATTCTTTGCAAACCCTCACAAGCGCATCTATAATTCGACATAATACATGTACAAATGTAGCTTATGATGGAGCCCTATGTGAGAGAAACACGAACATGAACACGGTCGTGTTGTGAAGTGTGTGATGGTATATCTTATGGTTTCTTTACATATGTCCACTTGTTGGCTATAATATAACTTGTGAAGAATGTTTCAATACTAGAATATGGGTGTCAGAGATGTAGCGGGGATTGAACAGAAATTTACCTTCGTTTGCATCTTCAATGTTCTTGGGTTTACCGCACCTCTCCTCAATGATGCGCCTCCTCTCGGCCGCTTTGCGTTCCTGCTCCTTTTTCAGTTCCTCAGCGGCTTTCTTACGCAGCAGCAACTGTAGGATGAAGCAAGGACTAAGTAAACAGATTCTCCTATTAAAGAAAATATCATTACGTTGTAATTAATAGTCACTTACCCTGAGCTTCTTCTTCCTCTCAGGTGTCATGAAACCCTTCTTCGCCTTCTTGGCTTTGGAGGCCTCCTCCATACGCTTGCGCACCTCAGCACGCTTGCGGTCGATTTCGGCCTGTTTGGCCTTCTTCGCCTGGAGACAGTGGACATTGGTAACCAGTGTACTTACAACTCTCCTATATGTTGGATTAGTGTCTCAATGTATAAATTGAATGTTGTTTGTGTTTTAACTGCGTTTGAGAATATTGTTAGGCGGAGTATGTACCTATGTGTCTGTATGTATGTTCCTAATGTTGTGTATATCTATATATGCGTTTACCTTTCTATATATGCGTTTTTGCTTGCACGTATTTGTATATGTACCTTTTGGTGTTTGAGACAGTATTGCGAGCTATTACGTGTGTTTATAGAAATGTGTAATATATCTAAAGTGTTCCTTTTTGTGCATGTATCCTACATTTAGTGGACTAGGTTTGTGTGTGTATTTGTGTAGGTGTGTGTGTGCGTGTGTTTTTGTGCATTTGTTTATATGTGTGTGTTTGTGTATTTGTGTGTTTAATCAAAGAGAAAAGTATACGTATAGTGTTTTAATCGTCCATAGACGACAGTAGATCCTTCGTTACTTTACCTCCTCGAGACGCTTTTTCTGTAAAAGAAAAAAGTACACATTAGTTACACAGCAACAAACTGTACCAATTACTTGAGTTAAAGTGTTTGCTGTAATTACTAGCACAATGCAGTATACAAAGAAAGGAAAATCTAAACTTTATCCATTACTTAAATAGTAAAGGAATAACACTAGACTTAATTGTAAAAGGAATTATTCTATTTCGTCATTCAAAAAAAGTCTTTCTCAAATCATTGTGCTAATAATTTAATTAAACATTCAATTACTGTACACTGCTAGGAAAAACGTTCATTAAACATTTTACTTTGAGAATAATTATGCAAAGAATTTCCACGTTTTTTCAGTGTATAGTAATGGAATAAAATCTGGTCTGTTATTTCTGTGCAAATGCAATCGAAGTGTGCAGTCGGAGGAGTGAGGTAGAGGGCTCACTAATGAGTTACGTAATAGGTAATATAGTCGTTATTGACGGCTAGGTTCATTATTTTTCGGAAATATTTATTTATTTATTTAATAATTTTTGTACACACAGTAGGTTGGACAAGAAAAATAATACAACAATTAGGTACAAAGGCACAGCTTATTTCTTCAGAAATCTCTTCCAGCAGGCCCGTTATGGGAGAGTTAGAACAAAAAGTTGTGTAGACTGACTGTGTAAACACAATTAGGAAAAAGGAAAACAATAAGAATTAATAAACTAACTATTAAACAGCAAAAATATTTAAATACATAACATATAAACACCAAAGTAACCTATACCACTTAATACACATTTAAATATATACCTATAAATACACTAAATATTCTAAACATTTATGATAGGGAAAGATAGTGCTCTTTCAATTTGCGCTTAATAATGGCAACAGTTTGGCAGCTCCTTAATTTGGGCGGTAGCCTGTTCCACAGCCATACAGCGTGCACAATGAAGGAGTAAGAGTAGAAGTCAGTGGAGTGGGGAGGGGTTTTAAGGACGGATCTGAGGTGACTCCTGCAGGACGCATCAGGTGGCTGGAGAAAAGAAAAACGTTCCCGCAGGTAGGAAGGAGTTTTAGGATTGAAAAGGATATTAAAAAGAAGACACAAAATGCGAGTGTTCCTCCGAAGACGAATAGGGAGCCACTTGAGTTCTTTGCGACAATGAGAAACATGATCATACTTCTTAAGATTGAAGACAAAACGAATGCATATATTTTGCAAGCGCTCAAGTTTATTCAAAAGCTCCTCTGTGGCATCCAGATAACAGGCATCGGCATAATCAATAAGGGGTTGGATGAGAGTCTGAGCAAGTGAAATTTTGGTTTTCAAGGGCAAAAAGTATTGAAGGCATTTCAGCGTATGGAAAGTGAAGTAAACTTTGCGACTGACTTCACTGACTTGAGCTGACCACGATAAATTGGAATCAAAGATGACACCCAGATTCTTAGCTGTTTTAGCGTAGTCAATCCTAACACCATCCAAGCAAAGCGAAGGCAGAGACGCAAAATCCAGTTTGCCACGCATGTATCTGCTACCAATAATCATGGCCTGAGACTTTCTTGGGTTAATTTGTAGTCCAAAAGACTGCGCCCAGTCACCAACCATATTCAGGTCATGATTCATGGCAATAACAGCAGCCTGCGCATCAGCTAGGGGAAAATGTCTGTAGAGCTGTAAGTCGTCCGAATAGAGATGGAAGTGGGAAGTAATGACCATAGTAACAGAGTCAATGAAAATAGAAAAAAGAAGAGGAGAGAGAACACTACCCTGCGGTACACCCGCAGTAAGATTGCACCAACTAGAAGTTAAGTTATCAAGGCGGATACACTGCGTACGGCCTCTCAGATAGGAATCAAACCAAATTAGGGTGGAAGGGGAAAAATTTACAGATTTCAGGATTATATTATTTGTAGTTATAATTCTTTATAAGCTTGAAGGACTTTGTGTGATACAAGGACTAGGTACCTACTAGTATCATTTATTACTCCTCTCTATTACAAAATAGATTTCTACTGCCCAGTAATTAAATTGTGTCTGCCATCTTTGTTTCTTGAGTTTTTTTTACCAACGGAGCAACAAAAGAGTTCTTTTATAAAAATAGTGTTCTTTTTTTAAAGAGTTAGCGGTTGTTTTTTTTTATAAGTAAGCTGGTTACGTTTTTAAGATTCTAAGACAGTTTTCTTTTATAAATTAAATTGTTTATAAAAGCTAAGTGCGAATAATAAAATAGTGCTTGGAACTAGAACTAAAACACAAAAGTGTACTTGGTGATTTTTTCTAAGAATAGTGCGTTAAGACATATAGGTATAGCTAAGGTTATTGTTACTATTTATTAAAACATTATAGTTTGCGTAATTAGTGACATAAAGTCGACATAAATATCACATTTAGGTATACCATCGACTTACAAATCTTTGTATAATTTAAGATACCTTTAGCTGTAAAAATACTGTAAAATAATATCAGATACATATTGATATAAATGACACATTGACATGTATTAAAGAATATGTCATCTGTCATAATCTTGAAATCTTAGTTGTAATCGTTCAAAATTTAGCATTTTTTTTATTTGAGCCAATTGTTTTGTTTTCGAAATATGTGTAATGTGACATTTGACATGTATGTGTTGTGTGTGTGTATGTCAATGTGATGTTAGAAAAGCACAAACAATTACCTGAGTCTCGAGGAGACATAGTTTTCAGTACTATATGTTGATTGAAGAGCCGCATCAAAGTTTGAAGGTCGCAGAACAATCCCAGGGCACACGGAAAGTAACAATGAAACAGAAGAAAGATACACGAAATATGTTAGATTACAATCCTAAAACAAATACTGCGCAAATAATAATTCTTTTTAGACGAAGTAAATCTAAATTAAAAAAAAATACTATCAAAACAAATGTATAGGTACTCATTTTTAAATTTCGAAAAATTCTAGTGGGTTAGAATTTTTCGAAATTCGAATTCGAACTAATCAAAAGAGTTTGCATTTTACCTTATCAAAAATTTGTGTAAAAAGTTTTAGTTTTAATTTGTAAGAGAACTAAATTCCTAAATATTGTGTTCTGTTCTGTGTTCAAAGACTTACCTTACTTCATCATCCGCCATTGTGATTGTTTTGTTGGTCTAGGAGTCCTGGAAAGAAGAGATATCCTTTATAAATATAATTATATTTTGAACTATCTATTTAGTATATTTATTTAACAATAGCAAAATATTTTATTTATTACCAGTCCAATGATTATTATAAATGATTTTGGCAACGGAGGAACGAATTAACAGATAATTAGCCAGATATGTGGTGTCTGGCATTTAGTGCAAGTACCTAGTATATCAAGGTACAATATAATGTTAATATGTCGTCAGTACAACAAAATACTTAGTAAATGATAATAAATAAAACGTATTTGGCCATAGTCGTGAGAAACAAGATGGTTATTTGAAACTATTTGGGCTGCAGCCAAGACGTCGACGTGTAAATACCGACATTTGATACTTGAAATCCGGCTTCCAACCCAACATTTTCCTATTTTCACTACACTATAACGAAATAATAATTAAAGGCATTCATAATATTTAGATCACTAAGTATAATTAATTGCCAAACGCCTTACTTAGTTCAAGTTCGCTTCCGAAAGAAACTAAAAAAACCCTAAAATTAGATCATGAAAATGGTTACGATGAAGATCGTAAAAGAATCTGTGTAATAACTGTTGCCAACGTAATGAAAATTCCACAATTAGGTTCGGGCGTGCTCGTGTGTGTTCGGCTAAGTTCGGGTGGTGCGCGGGCGACTGAAATAGGTTGGCTCACATACACCGCATCCTAATTTGGTTGCGCGAACGTTCAGCTTTGCTTACTCGGATTTCGGCCGTTATGCAAAACAGACTGATGCTTGTGACGTTACAAGTAAACTGATATTCTTTGATCTCGTAAAATAAACAAAAATTATTCAAATCACCTTGCTAAAAAATAATCTATCTGTTTCAAAATGAAAGAAGGATAGTACGATTAAATTCAATTTGGTAAAAGTTTTATTTCAAGTTGAAAAATATTTTAATATTGAATATGAATTAATAAAATAATGAAAATGTAAATTATTTATAATTGAAAATAAATGTTAACTGATCATAAAAATATTTTATATCGAGAAATTTGTTTTAGTATGCAATGGATACTCTATTAGCAATGTGACCCAGGAAATGAAAATACAACTGTCGATAGCTAAGGGTGCACGGTGTACTCATTATTCGTATCAATGTCTATGTCAAGCCCGTCCAGCAGACGATGACGACACTTAACATCCTTATCATTGACGTCATAACAGAACTTAGGACATTCGATATCAAATATTACGACACTTATGAGGACACGGAAATCTTGTCGGTCCGCACACTCGATCTCGTGAACGATGCATCACGCTGCAGTGTTCCGATTTACCACGACGTTGATATATCACTTCACTGACCGTTAAATGCACTTCATTAATCTTCCGTCAGATTATCGTTTTGTTAGTAAAAATATTTTAACTTTCACTAAAACTCACCTAAGGCAAAGAAAAAGAGGATGGCCCTATAGATGGTTCAGCCAACACGAGCCACAGCTGCTGACTGGTGCGAGGCGGGCGGCAAGGTGCGGCGGGCAGCGCGTAGGCGCACCGCCCCGTCCCCCGCGCCCCGCCGCCCCTAGCTCCTGCAAACTCTGCGCCCGCTCACCAGCGCACGCCTTCAGTCCAGACATTTTTAGAGCAGTGTCGTTTTGACACCAACACCGAAATAACATCAGATGTAAGCTCCAGTTTGAACTACTCGGATGCCTCGTAAATATCTGACCGACTGATGCCATGTGCGTTTTCACGAACAATTTTCACCGACATTGTGATAATAAAATTATGATTGAAACAACCTGTCTTACGAGATTTTTCGGACGCTGAATTTATTCTATAAAAAGAACGAAAGATAATCGAAAGATCGGCTACACGCTTGCTATACTGTTTTCCGATAAAGTCATAAAGTAAAGAATTGAAAGCTCTATTCTACGTTACATGAAGTGACTTGAATTTTATTTTGTGCCCCACATACGGGCGTTGTTGAATGTCTCGCTTTATTTAAAGTGTCCACAGCAGTTATTTCATTGATAAGTTGGAATTCTTAATCCAAGACCACAATTCAAGGAACACACATGTAATTGGACACGTTGATGCGAGCAAGTAGATGATATCAATTTAGATATTTTTTTAAATTACATTTTGTTGTTTGAAATGGTGAGTTTTTAAATATGTAACTGGGTTACTAGTAGCATTCCAACGTTTACGCAAATGTACTGTAAGAGTTCCATCTACCTAGGAAATGCTAGATTTGATCTGTTAATGACGTTTGTTTTGAATTAATTATAGATACGTTGATAATTGCATGTTTGTCATCTCAATAGATAAGTGTTTGGCACTTCTCGGTTGCACGTGGCGCCAAATATCAATCGATAATTGTTGATTCATCGCACAAGAGTTAAAGCTAGACTAAGAGAAGTTCCTTAACTGATACGCAAAATGAAATATTTTCGGACAATACAATTATTATTTCACTAGCTACTCTTACCCGCTGCTTGGCTCCCACAGATCGTAGCATGATGTTTTATAAGCTAAAACCTTCCTCAGTAAATTGTCTATTAAACACAATTTTTTTTTCAACTCAAACCAATAGTTAGTTCCTGAGATTAGCGAATATTAGTATAGCAAACCAACAACAAAATATTAGTATAGATTTTAATATCAATAAATTGGAAATTTGTATTAAGCATAAGATACATCAAATCGAACACAAAGATTTTTCACATGAAGATACCTTAATAAAAATTAACTCTCAATTTTTGTTACTTAATTCAGACTTTTGGAAAATATTCTATATAAGTGCTAATAGGCCCTTAGTCGGTGAACGTATAGAGATTCAAATAACGCTATCCTAATAAAGTTTATGCCCAACAAACAACGCACCAATTTAAACTAGACTGAATTTCACACTGTGCAGCCTGGATTGGAAAGTGCATAGTTAGCCGGCCCGAACAAACTCGACACTGCTGTAATTATTCGAGTTTCGAAATAAACCTTAAATGAACATTATTTAGAGATCAATTTTAAATGTTTTATTACGTTTCTGATAAAAATTATAAATAAAACCAAATATGTATTAAACAACTCTTTTTCTCATTTTTTTTTCTCATTTTTTTTTTTAATAAAGCAAGTTTCCGTCGCACTTTGCAGTCGTAGTGGTCCCGGAGATTAAGTCTCCCGCTTCTCATACATGAGAGAGTGGGTACAAAAAGAAAAATACCAGTGTGACTTTATCAAAGAAATGTGTGAAGGAAAACGTTGTTAGGAAACCTGGTCTTAAAATGTCTAATTATAGGTTTGAAACAACCAACCCGCGTTGAGTAAGCAAAAGACCTTTGCAAAGCAGTAAATACTTAAGGGCTGACGATAATTATGATGATGATGATATTTCCTGAACATCTTCTATCATATCTGTTCTCTTTACACAAGAAAATGAGTTAATACAGTTAAATTGTAAATATAGTAAATATTTGGATAGACGCATCCGTGTCTCATGTTAAAGTATCATATTTATTGACCGGAAATTAAAAATAGAAAGAACAAGGAAGGAAATGCGGTCGTTACCTTTTATTCTATACCTACCTCTCTGGATTAGTAAAACAATAGAGTAAATGAATGCACGGTTGATGCAGTGGCTGGGAATCGAGCTGCCATGCAAAATGTTGCAGATTCTACTTATATTGTGGTCAACAAATTGTTGTCTCGTGTCTATGTGAAATTTTATAATTGTAAACACACTCACGATACAGAAAGTTCTAATGTGGTAACATTAAAATTAATTGTTATTTATTCTTTATAAATAACAATTAATTTATTACTTTATTCCAATTGTTCAAATTTATGAATTTGCACGTCAATCAATAAAGTATAAATATTTTAAATGTTCCAAATTAATGGCATAAAGAATGTACGATACTTCACTTCGCTTAATTGTATTACTTTTTTAGAATATAATATAGAACATTTTAAATTTGGAACAATTTTAACGCGCTATTTGTACGTATATTTTTAAGTTTCGAACACTTTCGCGTTCTTGGTAGGTACGCTATGTGTTAGGTATATATAACCTTAGTTTTTTTGTTTTTGTCTGACCGCTCCACCATTTTGCAAAATGGTGCGACTTTTATCTACCAGTATGAGGATCTTCAAAGCCCAGAACACACGTTTTAGAACGAAAGGGAAGGACTAAAGAACGCAAAAATAAATAACAAATAGAAAACGCCTTGAAACGTCGTCACAGTTGTAAACACAGATACATAGGTATATTAATATAAAATGTACATGCTATGTTCTGTCCGTACATCCGATATTGGTTCGTGTTGGAGTAAACAAGTATTGTCATCAATGTATATAGTTCTTAATACATACATATAAACATGGCGTCGAAAGCAAGGCGGCTTAACTAATTCATTACAGAATTGATTTTTTATAAAACGTAATGTACCTATCTCAAAAATTGACCCGTGTTGATGATGCGAACAGTCAAGTACGAGATTTTGTTTTTGATTTTCTGGTTATTTCGACTAACGTGAAATTTTAGTAGGTACAATTTAGTATATTATTATTTTTTTATTCTAAATAATAAACTACTCTTGGGGAAATATTTTGTCTTAAGAATTTCTATTAGAGAATAGACACAAGGGATGAAAAACAAGTCATTATAAAAAACCGATAATTTGGCATATTTTACAAGAGCGCTGTAATCTGAGTCATTAAATGATTTGATAACAATTTCGTTCCAAAATAACAACTAAATACTGAATTACTGGGGATACATAATTATACGGTCTGTACGAGAATACATAACACCTAAGGCAACGATGATCAATGAAATAAAAACCCTATGTAAAAGCATTATAAGAAATATTTTCCTCTTTCAGAGGTCATAGTAGAAAAATTCAGAGCACATTAACGTTGTTATCGAAACAACACAGCCAAACCAGTGAGTTGAATGAGATAACAATATATCATTTTACGTTAAATGTTACAGGAAAAGCTAAAATATATGTAACATCACACCTTTTATTTCTCGTAGACCCGGCTATACATAATATGTCACACATACACGCAAACAGACACACATGCACATGTGTGTTTTTTGTTATGACTCCTCCATGCAATATGGGATGCTACAATTATTTTTAAAGTCAATTTTTAAATTGTTTCAACCAATTCAAGATCTGTAAGTCTTGCGGACGGCAAGTATGGGTACCTCGCCGCCCAACCAGAACCAGGCCCGAGCGTGCTGCGCGTTGGGTCCCGTGCCGCCTCAAAGATCCAATAAGGCACTATTAGGGCTGATGTTCAGCCGGGGGTTCGAGACAAGCGCAATATGGCACTGCAGCCCTGATTAGGAGAAGGAATGGGAAGGTTTTTAGTCAGTAAATCTGACACTCTCCATAACCTCACCCTGGGCGAAAGAAGTCATTTGATGAGATTCCCCTCACAAAAAAAA